TTTTTCGTTATTTTTCATATTTTCTGTGCTGACTATGCTTCTTTTAGAATTAGAAAAATATACAAAGAATTTAAAACAAACAATATTACCTAGTATTCAAAGAAATCCAAATTAAATTTTTGTGTCTTTCCAAATAAATAAGGAAATACAGGGTAAAGAGTAATTGTCCTGCTGAGCGTGTTTTGTGGTTACTAGTGCTGCCTCATGTTTCAGGCGTGTCTGCAGGAACTCCTGCTGTTGCCTAACAACCTGCCCTCACACAACAGAAATAGAAACATGATGCCACATATCCTTCAAAATACAACTTGGCCCTCTGAGGATGGAGAGTGTCTTGAAGAGAGACCGGATATTTCTAAATTTGCTGGTGCTGCTTCTCTTGTTTGCTCTCAGATCGTACTACTCTTGGGTAGCCCCAGCAGGTGGCCAACTCAGCTAGTTAAGCAAACTACATTCCAGGTCATGCTGAAGCAGTCCCCATGGGCCAGTGAGTGGGGTGCAGGTGGAGAAGAAAACTAGCTTCTGAGTTAAAACATCCTGCCTGTATTTTGAAGGCCCTGATGGCACATCAGCTAGGGTCCAGATGCTAACCAAGGTGGACCTCCCATAATCAGGTTGCCATGTTCCCAGGTCAAATTGGTAGCCTTTGGGGGCCAGAGGTGAACATTTTCCCTGGCTATGAAGGGGCATCTCAGAGGGAGATGAATGGAAGGATCATAAGATCCTGAGCACATGCCAGGTACAGGGGATTATAAGGGCTGATAGCTCTTCTCAGTAACTGAAAGGATTTATTCTGCTTCTTTCTTGGTGGCAAGGTCCTGAGAAGAGAGATGCTTCTTAGAATGTCATGTTATGGGCATGGAATACACCTGAAGTAAGCAGAATTGTTTGGAGGGATTTGGCACTTCACCCAAGCCCTGGGCACCCCTGGCTATTGCTGTTCTTTGACATGAGCCATCTGTCTAAGGCTTGGCCACCCATACACTGCTGGGTGCCACTGACGGTATTTGCCTCTGGGGATCCTGTAATCCTTTACTGATGAGTCCCTGGTGTTGACACCATCTGTCATTAGAGATACAGAAGTCTCTGGAGAGCCACTCACCAATGTCTGTGCCACACAGTACACAGTTGTCCATGTGCAGATTTATTCTATTGAACTCTAAAGCCTCTGTGTGTGCTGATCCTCCCTGCCTAGTCATAAGCCTGCAGACTTTCTTT